GGTTGGGAAAAAGAAACCATTGATTTTAACAAGTCTGAAAACCAAAAAAAAACCTCGACCTTAAAAATGGCCGGGCCCATCGCTGTCAGGTTTAAGCAGTGATTAAAAAAAATTGTTCAAATTTAGGCTTAGCGATGGAAATAAGAGTTTGATTTATACTGTTGCATTATTATTGGGCTTTTGAGGGGACAAAAACACTTTTAGTCATTAAAAACAAGGCAGCTTACTTTTGCAGGACTGTTCAAACCACTAATTAATACAGACATTAGCCAAGAAACCTTGGATTATTCTTACTGCTTTCTTATTATAATTCAAATCTATTAGAAAGTACTTCCAATGAAAATCCAGTTCAATTTCAAGTTTACCAATATCAACTTTATGATTTATCAAGCTTTTTGCCATTTTCTGGCTACTTGAGCCTGGAAATAAAGAAAGGAAATGCCTTGTTGGCTGTCAACTTGTTGCGTTGCTGCCCCAGCTTATTCATAAAATTCTAATTTCGAGGCCTTTAAAAAAAAGGGTTCTTGAATTTACGAATATAAAATAGCTTAGTTTTTTTGCCAGTCTAAAAATACAAACAGTCTAAAAAACTTGTAGAGCATTTTCTTTGGTTTGCTAGTCCAAAAAACAAAATCTTTACCCCGAAGTCTTGTAGGACTTGTTTTCTTGTTTCTTCTATTAGGGCCAAAAAAAAGAAAGAGAAAAAAAAAAGATAATTTTAAGCTGGGCCAAAGGGGGCCAATCTAACGGTTGGTCAGATTGTGCTTGCGTCCAAAAATCTATTCGGTTTTACCAAAACAGTTTTTTTGGCCCATAACTTGGAACAATAAAACTCCTGGGAGTTAGAATTTAAAGGAATTAACAATTTACCTTTACCTAAAATTCCCTAAATAAAATATTTACATTGTTAAAAAACAAAGGAACGGGCTTGCATGATGGACAAGTTGGCCAAAAAAAAAAAAACAAATTCAATTTAATTTTAAAAAAAAAAAAAAAAAAATTATTTTTTTGCAAAAAATTGCAAAATTCAAAGACATTTTTTCTTGCCAAAAAAAAAAATTTTTGGGTTTCTTTTGTTTTTTTTCAAAAAAAAATGTAAAAAAAAACAAAAAAAACATTTTTCAAAGGCCCTTAAAAAAAAAAAAAAAACACAAAAAGAAACAAGACCAAACTTTTTTACTGGAAATTTTGGGAAAAGCAAAAAAAATTTAACTAATTCAAAACCCTAAAAACAAAAAAAAAAGGGGTCGGCGCTTTGTTCAAAAAAAAAAAGGTTTTCTGTTGCTTTTCGAAAAGGGTTTAAAAACCGCGGTTGAGGAAAAAAAAACCTCCGTAATGGTTAAAAACAAAAAAAAAACAACCAACCCATGTTGGACGGGGAAAAACGCACCGCCAAAAAAAAAATTTAACCAAGTTTAAATTTTTTTTCCTTTAAGCTCCTGGAGAACACTCCTAACTTTCCCTCCACCCTCATGTCTCGCGTGATGGCAAGTGATAGAAACCCTTGTATCGCTTTGTCTCCCGCAGCTCCATCCATCTGTACGACGGGCTTTGATCACATCCATTAGGTGTTTTCCTATTGTCCAACCTGCCATTCCTGCAATTCCCCCGGCTAGCATCACACCCACTTAAATCTGCGAGTGAAAGCAAAGACAGTGACTTGTAAAAATGGTAACTTGTCTTTTTTTAATCCTCAAGGGAATCTGCAAATAAAAAGGAAAGAGTTTTGGGCCATCTGCCCTTAAGCTGCCCTATGAACTTCTGCGGTCTAATATTGGCCTTGGGGTGCATGTTGACCCTTGGGTAGGTTCCCCCCCTCGTTGGACAGCAATGCGGTTATGCTAACCTCCAAGGATATGAGCTAGTTTACAGCAACACTTCAAAGTCCAGGGTGTAGGATTTAGTGGCATCTAGGCGGTGTAGTTGCAAGATCTTAAACTCCCCTTAAAGTCATCTTCTAAGTGCAAAGAAGAAAACGTGGCAAAAAAACAACAAACCAGTGTTTGGTTTGTCCCTTCTAGGTACTGTAGGAAACAAGATGATTCAACATGGCGGACCTCATGGAAGGTGACCAGGGCTTCTGTAAATTTAAAGCTCATATCTTAAGGTAACCAAAATCATAACAATTCATATATCAGTGATTATACACAAATAACAACATACCTATGAATATTATATTCCATTTCTGCGAATAGATCCTCCTAAATGTTACACACTGGACCTTTAAATTCAGATTTACTGACACCGATAGGTACCAAAAAGACATATGGTGTGCTGTCACATGTTTATCAGATACTGAATGTGATTTTGTTGATTTAATTTAAAGGCATAAATCATCCCATGACTCAGAAGTGACTGCAAATATGAAAATAAAACTTACTTACTTACACACACACACAAACATTTTGTTGGAAGAAATTGCGGAGTTGACTTCACTCACCTGGTCTTTTCTTGCCGCTATCTGTCAGATATTCGCAGATGGTTGTGTAAGTCAAGAAGTATGTGGCGTATGATGGCCCGTCTCTTAGCATGAGCGGGAGCGATCCTCTGTAGAGCCCCATGAACCCCTCCTCTTTGATAATTCTCAGCAGACAGTGAACTGGGCCATGGTACTTGGGTTTGGGCATGTTGGTTCTTCCTCGCTTGGACTCTGTCTGACACTGCAGACGTACTTTCACTATGTCACCTGGAGACATCACCAATATCTGTTGGAAGCAGATGAGGAGAGACACATGCCCTTTGATTTCACATGGATGTAAACTTTGCATTTACAGTCTAAGTTGCAGGTTAAGTCATTGAGGCACATGATTTAACAGTGTGTGTATAATTGTATCCGTTACCTGAGCTATACCCCCCGCCATACCAGCCAGGAATACGTCTAGCTTGGTGTTCCCACAACCACCTCCTCGTGCCTGGCTCAGACACTGCAGGCAGTTCCTGTATGTGCCAAACACCACTGAGGAAGTCATAGAGATTGTGGTAACGGGTAGGGACATGCCTTTGAAGAAGCCATGCACCTGATGACACAAGTGAGAGAAACCAGATGATAAACCCATATCACTTTTTTCAGCAATGTAATTGTCTTTATATTGTGATGAAGGCTAATTCGCCTTTAAAGTCAAAATCTACGCTGATGATGTGATGATACCCTGAATCATTCTTGTCTAAGAAAGTGGTTGAAAATGTGTAATTCATATGTTGTTAACACCTTTGACATTATAATCTAACCAGCAGTATCACATTTCACAACATGTTGGCTCCATTTCCAACATTATTCTGGCTCAGCTGGTCCTCCTGACTCCCTGGATTGTGTCACATTTGGACATGGACATGGAAAAAAAAAACCCTGATATCATGACGTTCCACTGACCCCTTCTTTTGAAAATGTTGCTGCTGCACACTGCCATATTCCAGTGAACTGTTTCTGGGTTTGGATCCGGACCTAGAAAAGATAAAGAACGTGATGTAAAAATGATGTCCATTTGTTATATAGCCGTCCTTGACTGTTTCAGATACACATGCCACTTCCTGTACCTTCAGAGTGTCCAGAGGGTAACCCACTGCAACTCCACATGCTCCTGTGTGTTTCCAGAGAAAAGAGAGCATCAAGGACACAACAGAGAAACAGGGATGCTCAAGGTTTACGGGCTTTATCTGCAACCCCTGACAGTAAGGTTAATGTGATGATTTGTTTCTTGTGTGCTGATTTTGAGCTGAGAAATATGAGATGTGACTTAATTATTCTGGACACGTTATAGACTGAAACAAATTAAGGGATCATTCAATGTTAAAACAGTTTGCACATTCTCTGTGCATTGCATTGAGAGCCCCTTACTTGACACATGCTTGTGTGTTATTCAGTCTCACCATGTTTTCACAATTTTCTGAAATGTAGTATCTTTTCAGATGATAGTGAACTTCCTGAAGGTATTCCCTCACTAAAATGATCAGACATATTAAACTGGTTGAGAGTAAATATGACAGATAAGCACACATATTATTTAAAAACACTGCATTTAATTGTACAGAGGGGGAAACAGGTTTCCTCCAAGATGCCAATGAAAGCGCCCAACCTTGTTCTCACAGTGTAATAGCTAACATATCATAACAGCTTTACAAGGCATATACAAGTGAACGTTAGATTTAATCTGGTCTTCTCAGTTGCTGTCATACTGTAATCTCCCCATGCACATACAGCAGCTAGCTCGTTAGCAAACACTAAACGCTAAATGAGAAACGAACTATGCTAGCGGTAGCTGTTACCTGCAAATGATCCAGACACAAAATCAGCGATATGCATCCTGTCAGATGGTGAGTGGCCGACAGATATTGGTCAGATGTGAGTCCATTCTTCCTCCGGCATGTGCCGTAATACGGCAGTAACCTTGAGTGTGTAGCTGTTACATGATGAGTACCAGAGGCGTGTCTTACCGCCAGCCAACAGCGGCGAGTGGAAGGATTGGTTACGGCTTTTGCCGAAGATAGCCGAATGTGTCACTAGTCAGAGTAGGCAAATGTGTGTATGCCTTATATATACCTTATATATATATAATACTGTCAATGGTGTACGAAAAAAAACCTCATTATTATTATTATCATACGAAAAAGTCACCTTTTAAAACATTTTTTTTAATGTAGCGGTTAACTCTGTACCCTCTGACCCTCTTGAAGCTTTCAATAAACTCAGCAAACATAAAGTATACTAACTTACTATATACTACTACAGACACACTATCAGTCAACTCAAAAGCAAAACATCACACGGCACCGATGACGCATTTCAACACTGGGAGCCTTTGCGACACGCAGCCAATGAAAGACGAGGATTACGTCAGGAGCGGGGTGTCGGCTTTAAATCTCTGCTCTGATTGGATAGAAACTCTAGCCGACACCGGTATTCCCCGCCCCCTAGTAGTGACTTCCTGCGACGCTAGCTTGCCTGCTACAGAAATAAACCTCCTTGATACAGACAGCGGGCAGCGTGTCGGCATTGACTGTAAACGCCACACCGGTGAATGGAGGTCGTGTAGGTCAACAGAGGAGTTGTATTAGAATAAGTAACAAAGTAAAGTAACCGGCCAGAGAAAGGCAAAGTGTTAGAATTGTTTAATTGTCAGGGTCTTGAAGGGGAAGTCGTCACTAGCTGGCTAGGGGTTAGCTAACAGACGCTAACTGAAAGTGTATGTTACACCATTGGCTAGATTACCAGCTGAGGACAGTGACAGCTAGACGGAAGGGAACGGTTTTAAAGATAACAAAAAAAAAAACAACGTTTCATCGAATCGTTAAGAGCTTCTTCAGTTAGCATTTATACTTTAGCATTCAGGTGTCGTGCAGGAGCGGTGATGGACTTCGTTGCGGGATGCATCGGAGGTAAGTCATGTGGCAGCTGCACTCTATCGTAGACACAGATCGTTGTGCAGTTGCTGAAGAGACACCTTGCTTTGAGACATCGTATCTTGAACTAGTCGAGGTGAAATGCCCCTCCTTTGCTTTTAACTGTATCAAAGCACAAACCTGCACCAGCACCACTCTCACTAATGTGATTCAACTCTGTCACAAGATTACAATTGCATTGTCGAAGCCAGTACTGTAAATGAAATGTCCCGGATTGTGTTTGAGTGAGTGTGAAGTTGTGAGAGGCTTATTCTGGTGCAGGGTCAACCAGAAAATGACCATGTAACGTTTATTTTTCACTTAATTTTATCAGATAGAGTTTGTGGTAGTGTTTGTGATTGTTCAAAAACGCCATACAGAAGGTTTGGTTGAATATGTTGACACTCAAAACAAAATATTAATTGAATCCACCAGGCCTCTGGTGTGCCCAGCATTACAGGGTATTACACGGTATTCATGGGAAGTCTGTTTCAGAGAAGTGCTTGCTCACAGTGGGTGCTCCAGCCTTCTGTATTTCTCCCTTGAGTCACTTGTACAGCCTGTTGAGAACTGAAAGTATGCAAACACTACATCAGGTGCAACCCGAGCTTTCAAGCTAGGATGGCCTGGCTGTTTAAAGGTTCCACGCACACCATAGTCAGATGACATGAACCAGTACACACCCCTGCACAGACCAATCCCATGCTTTCTTTACTGAACAGTGACTGACATGGCAGACCATGTGGTTTCCCCGCCCTCTCAGGATTCAGGGAACCATCTACAGCAAAGGGGGAAGCTGGTTGATGCTGTTTAAGGATGGCCTAGTTTGCTCAAAATTTAAAATGAGGTTAGCTATGAACCAGGGGAGTTTTTTTCTTTCTTTCTTGAAGCCTGCATGCTTTTACATAAAAAAAAATGGAGAATGGAATATTGTTATACCAACTGTGATGCAACTGTCGTTTGTTTTTCCTGTGCTCAGATCATACCAGTGCATTGAGGTCAATGACCGGTTGTCATTGTGTCAAACGCAGGCCTTCTTGTGTTCTTTTCCTGGCTTACAGCTTGGACTCATTCCTGATTGGCTCTTTTTACAAATGGGTCAGGTGACAAAGCAGGTGCTTATGTGGGATTAGCTTGTTGTAGTTGTTTACACAGGTGGGACATTAAATTCACATTTTAATTATTATCATTATTATTATCATTATTTCAAATATTTTTTTAAAATACATATATATATATATATATATATGTGTATTTACCTTAAAAGAGTGTAATTCTGTAATTGACATTCGGGATACTTTTTTGCTAAAACAAACAAAACAATCAATAATAAACGATATTAAATTCATCTAATACTGCCACAATGATCTAACACACCCACAGATATTAAAGACATAGGTATCTAAGTATAAATGGTATCACCTAATGTCTGAGGGTAGACAAGTTGACTGATTTATGGGATTGTAGTATAAGTACAAACTTCCTTTCTATGTTACCTCTTAATGTTGTTTATGGTCGGGCTGGGAACTAATATCAGGTTTCAGCATAGACTCAGGTGAGAAGCCCAAACTAGCACCAGAACATGGACATGTGCTGGTTATGTAAGGCACACTAAAGAAAGTTTTAGAGGGTGATGATGCCCAGTGAGCTGGCTCTGGCTCGATAAGGCAGTGTTACCCTGGAGGAGAGGGCAGTATACTCTAAAATTACACAACAGTGCCAGCAGCAAGAGGTTTAGCCATCAAAGACTAGCCAAATAGTAAAACAAAACGAGTGAAATGGACCGAATACAATGCCAGTGGGTCCAAATTTCTTAAAGTAATCAGGACACTATTGTTAATATTTGCATAGATGTCTGGAAAACCTTGGTATCCAAACTTGTGTTTTTGTAAGAATGAGATAAAGAACAAGGTAACAATGAGGGTACATGGTCCTCTCTAAGTGTTACAATAACATTGAGTAATGTTGCCAGCTCTTATGATTATGAAGTTTGGAGGGTTTATGAGAAGGTAAAAATGAGTTGAGTGTGTCACCCTCTGAGTTTAAATCAAATGTGATTGAAAATAAATGCTGCATGTAATATGTTTGGTACAAAGAAAACACTAGTATTATAGAAAGAAATACTTTTCAATCGAGGCAGATCAAATGAAGAAAGATTATCATTGCCTACTGTATTTTCCTCACTGTTGTTTCCTTTGTCTCCAGGTGCTGCTGGAGTCTTGGTTGGACACCCTTTTGACACAGTTAAGGTGGGCAAAGTTTCTTTTTTTAATGGCACAATGTAATAACAGAGTTTTATAACAACTTAATACACCCTTTTAGGCAGTTCTCTGTTTAATTGCACTTTTCTTTATGAATGCCAACAAAGTTACAAACTGATTTTAGTTTAATAACTGTTTAACAGATATCTGTGTTTTTTTTTATTGAATATTTATTTTGTTTATTGTTTTATCCTTTATCCACATCATCACTGTGCTTTGTAGATAGCGGATAACCGGATTGGTTTAACTGAGTTTTTCTTTTCCAGGTGAGACTGCAGGTCCAGAGTGTTGACAGGCCTCTGTACCGTGGGACCTATCACTGCTTCCAGTCCATCATAAGGCAGGAAACGGTATGTTGGATTTATTTCCCATATAAATCTAATGTGGGCCTGAAACTAACGATTATTGCCATTATCAATTAATCTGTTGATCATTTTCTCAAATATATGTTTGCTCCATAAAATGTCAGAAAACGGTAAGGAATGTTGAGCACTGTTTCACAAAGCCCAAGGATGTATTGTTTTGTCCACAATTCAAAAAATTCGAAAATTTCGCATTTGAGAAGCTGAAATCAGAATTTGGACATTTGAAAAAAAAAAAAAAAAAGAGAGAGAAGAAGCTCTGAGCAATTTGAATGGAATTGGACAATGTACATGTTAAATTACTTCATGTGTTAAATAGAATACTTAAATATTATTTTACAACAGACCAGAGTGAGTCAGTAAAGTAATGCTAGTAAAAGTTATTAAACTATATTCTATATGTACAATGAAAAAACACTTATGTTTGGGACAGTGGTTATGAAGTCTGGGACAGTTGAAAGTAGAATTTGGGATACTGAAGAAAACAGTAGAGTTATGTCACTTTTCCCCTTCTTGGCAAACATAATTGGACACCTTCGGTTGTGAAGCAAAAGTGGGGGACACTTGGAGATGGATATGTGTAGTTTATTAAATTGGGTCAGGTTTCTTTGGTGTGGTTATTTGTCCCCCTGTTGACCTGAATCATCTTGTTTGCTGTTTTCTTTAATTGTCACATTTTCTCCCACAGCGATCAGGAGAACCATTCTTAGCCTGAGTAGTGTATTTAAAAATCTCATTTACATCACATGCCTTTTTGTATTTAAAGCTTCTGAATAACTGAAGGAGAACCTGTCTCTAGGATCATTATTAAAGTAGCCTCAGGGCATTTCAAATGTTTTCACTTATCCTGCCGGCCTTAATTACAGGAAGTATTATAGAATGTGCAAGGAAGACAAAAATGGCTGTCCTGAAAAGATATAGTAACTGATAAGGCTGGTCTTATACTGTATACAACAAGAAAAATAAAATGGAGGTCATATTATCTTATTATCTTATCAAAAGCACAAATTGTGATTAAATTGGCCTTTTACCCATAATAAGTGTGAATATGGCCCTAATAGGAAAATGGAAGACAAAGATAAAGAAGACAGTTATTTTAGTTGAGGACACAGTTAAAATGAGACTAAAATGAAAGCTTTCAGTGATCTGTTAACACACTTTGTCTAATTTGATGTCTCTGACCCTCTTACAGGTATTTGGTTTGTATAAAGGCATTGGATCCCCCATGATGGGCCTTACATTCATCAATGCTATAGTGTTTGGTGTTCAGGGAAACGCCATGCGGAAGCTGGGACACGACACCCCCACAAACCAGTTCCTTGCCGGTGCAGCAGCAGGTGCCATCCAGTGTGTAATCTGCTGCCCAATGGAACTTGCTAAAACCCGCATGCAAATGCAGGGCACCGGAGAGAAGAAGTCCTCTAGGAAGCTGTATAAGAACTCCCTGGACTGCTTGGCACGCATCTACAATCGAGAGGGTCTGCGGGGCATAAACAGAGGCATGGTGACCACGCTAATCCGTGAGACACCTGGCTTCGGGGTATATTTCCTGACCTACGACGTGCTGACGCGCAGCCTTGGCTGTGAGCCAGACGACCGCTACATGATCCTCAAACTGCTGTTCGCCGGGGGCATGGCTGGCATCGCCTCCTGGCTTTCCACCTATCCTGTGGACGTGATCAAATCGCGGCTGCAGGCGGATGGTGTGGGTGGAGTCCACCAGTACAGCAGCATTGCCGACTGCGTGCGACAGAGCGTCAGAAGAGAGGGCTACATGGTGTTCACGCGAGGCCTCACCTCCACGCTGCTACGAGCCTTCCCCGTGAACGCAGCTACTTTTGCCACCGTCACCCTCATCCTCATGTACGCTCGGGGGGTGGAGGAAGGACCTAAAGACTGTGAGCAGGCTCAGCCAAGCCACCACACGCAGATCCAGCCGCAGGCCCAACCGTCCAGCCTGTGACAGCACAGAGGTCTCACCCTCAACCTGGGCACTTTACAAGAGCAAGGGAAGACAAAATATACAAACAAACCCTTTATTACTGTCAGACCAGTCATTCCCTATTTTGAGTCAGAAAATACCTGGTTTATATAAACTTTCATGTCAAAAAGTAAGCAAAGGACAAACATATTTATTTTTTGCGATAATTTTAAGTTTCAGATTTGCCTCTGAAGATCCAGACTTGTAAAGATGGTGTTACCTCTAATAATATGATGGGAAAATTGGAGCTATGAGATTCATGAAAGTTTTTAACAGCAGCTTTTATCTGTGAGAAACCTCACTCATTAGACTTGTTACTGAGCCACAAAACTGAGTGTGGCTAGGTAGTGTGTACACTGTAGACACTGGAAGTTGTCTCTCTCTATTACATATATCTTGAAATGTGCAGTGATTAACTGCACCTGTGTGTGTATATATAATTGATTTTGATTCATTTCTTTTTACATGTATGTTTGTGTGAAACATTTTTCGTGCCTTATAATATGAATACTTTTTATTTTGCGTAAGGAATTTGAAGCACCTGTTTGTACCTGAACTGTATCCTCTGAAGAGCAAGCAAGAGGGATGGAATGTAGCATTTGATAAGTCCGCAGAATTTATCACCTGTGTCTGCTTTCAAACCAAAAACCCCACATTGCAGCTATAATCTAATCATCACTAAAGCACTATTAGTCCACACAGCACGTCAGTATCCATTGTCAGCAAAAATCCACTGGTCTGATGGGCTCTTCAGGGACCGAATGCTAAGTGTCTGTGTGTGAGTCAGGATTGTAGATGGCACTGTCTTTTACGTCTTGTTTGGTGTCATTGGCATGTTGTGTTATACCAAGTAATGTGAAGTTTTATCATGTCATTTTAACTTACTGTATTGAAGGCCTGAACCAGGGGTGGAACATTACGCTATATGTGGCACTGTACTTGTCCAACAATTTTTTTTAGGGGAATCCCTACTCAACTACAACTACAACAACTTAGGGGCCAACAAATGTCCCAATATTTAGGACGGCGCTCATCCCTTTGATTCTGTTTATATTCAACTTTTTGTGAAATGGGAACGTGAAGCCCATAATGTTCCCCCAGGGGGCACTGTAGGGGATTTGTTGCAGTCTGTGATAGTTTGAAGTGCATTCTGGTTGGGGAAGCTCGAACAATATTGAACATATTCTACAACCTGCAGTATGAAAAAATGCTAACATGGCTTCAGCAAAAAAATAACAATGTTCAGACCTCCAGTTTGTAATGCAGACTTTATTTATTTTTTTTGAAGGTATTATTTTCCTTAACCTGTCAAAAATATGTATTTGTGTGTACCATATACTGTACCTAATCTGGATTGGGGCTTTAATTCGACTTATTTATTTTTGAAGTTACTATATTGGCTTAATAATGTACCTGTATTGTTAATGAGTGGGATTTGCTTTCTGCATGTGTGTGGTCAGTATCCAATGATTTTGTCTGTATTTTATGCCTGAATGTTGAATTTCCTGCTGTGAAGCAATCAAAGTTTCTCCCGTACAAATGCTAATGTTCCCATCACAGCTGTAAATGGTCAGTACGACTGACAGTCTGTTCCCCTGAATGCTTTTTTGCGCTCTGTCTGAAGTTGTAGAACTAGCAACAAATCAAACTACTGTCATTTGTGTAGGAATACGGAATGAGTCTGTGAAAGGCTGTGCTGAGAACAGGAATTCATAGATGCACTAAAACCCTCAGTATGTTGAATGTATCACACCTGTGGTGACTCAGGTGTCTCAAAGAGTTGAAGTGATTTCTTGGAATCCTGTTGTTTAAATTTAGGTGTCACTAGTTTGAATTGTTCAATGCTGCTGACACACTTGAAAGTGTGCATGTTTGTATTCTGGTTTTAATGGTGGGTGACGATGAGTGCAAAGGGATATTTGATGTGTCATTTAAAGCTGCTTGTGTTTAATCAATAATTCCACCTCTTGAACAGTGACTCCGACTGTAAAGTAGATTACGTCTGAAACTTGGTGATTGCCATTTGACAGCTGATGTGAGAGATGCAATATGTACAGGATGTAACTGTATTCATGTGAGATTGTTTTGAAGTAGTAATGTAAATATATATATATATACTGTATAGATACATAACATATATTTTTCAGTCTAAAGTAGTTGTGTGGTTCCCCGAATGTCGAAGTTTGAGCAGCTTTTAAAGTCTGTATTTGATCAGTTTGAGTCCACTATTACACTGAAGAGGTTTTAACTGAAAAACTGAGATGTGATATTTTTGTAACATAGTCATACATAACCTATTTGTCTAGATTTATCACTGATGAGCTGTACAAATGGGTAAATAAAAATCAACTCAGCAGCTGTTTGTTTGTTTGCTATCCAACCCTCTCTACACTTGGGTAATGACAATAGTCCCCATAATTAACAAATGATGACATCCATACACCCTTCCTTTGGAAAACATACTAATGTTTCTGTGGTGAACAGTGTCAACTGAGGAGGCCTGATGAGGTTTTATTGAGCAAGTACTTGGTGAGATACAGAGATGCACAGCAACTATTATAGTAACACACAATCCCTGATCTAGGCATGACAAAATGTAGTTGCTATTGTCAGTCAGGGATGACGCAGCATCTTACGTGGTGTTAACAGGGTGTGTGAGTCTCAAGGTTTACACACTGACTTATTAATATACCTGATTGTTTGAGCATTCGGCACGTCTGTTAACACCCAATGGGTGCGTCCCAAAGCATCCAGCGCTGCTCTCACTGCTCTGTGTCAAGCTGTACATCTGTTGAGTAAACCCACACACACATTAAAACACAGTATCATAAACTGAACCTTTATGTGATTTAATTGTTGATCATTATGGCTGAGTGGTCCAATCAGATAGCACCTGAAGACAACGGATTAATTTACACTGCAGAGCACAATGTCTAAAATTAGTCTTTTGAGTCTTTAAATTACATCTTTACTTTAATACAATAACTGGTAGATTATAAACTCCTTTAGGACCCATCTTCTTAATCGGTATCCTGGCAGAATATGCTGACAGAAATAATGAAAAATGTGTGAGTCTAGAAGAGTTAACATCCAGTCTTCCACAAATGGAGAAACTAAATCATTTATAATTTGTGAGATACATTAGGGAGAAATCAGTTTTTATAAATTAAATTTGGCATTTACTTATGATTACATGAGTAAGAGTTCTCTTTGGTGTAATACTTTGATGGTTGCATCCCAAAATAGAACCAACACCGAGGGGCCTCTTAGTTCTATGAAATTAATATTGCATTTTCAAACACGCTGCTGGAAGCCTTTGAATGTCTTTAAACATCTTTTGAAGATAGCAGAGTAGAAAAGGTTACAAGCAGCTTTAAGTGCAGCTTTTAGTTGAAGCGTGAAAGATATAATCACTTGTCCAGAGAAGATCCACTGGAACATATTGACACAAAAACAGCAGGGATTTAACCAAGGCACCATCTGTTGATGGGCAGTGGTAACTACAACAATATTCCTAGGGGTCAACCAGTTCATCCTCATAGACATTTTCTTTTTTTTTTTACTGTACTCTAGCTTGTAGATAGTTTACAGTATTTGACAATTAAATCAGCTGTCATTGAGTTCTGCTGCTACTCTGTCCTATGTTAGAATGATTTAAACATCCACCAGACAAAAGATTAACCTTGATGAGATGAGCTGTCTGTATTATAAATCCACCAAACTTACAATCACAGTCTCACACATGATTGCACATCTACCATTGCAACCTACTATTTACTCAAAACCCTCCTTCATCTGTCTGTCCTCATCAATAAACTTCTTTACAGATCTTGTGAAAAACAGTCGTCTGTCAACCTTAAAATACGGTTTGAAGACAGAATACGAATCAGCACAGTTGAAGGTCAAAAGAGTTTTCAGTTAGACATCAATAAATCATCAATGCTAAGCCTACAATTATCTGTATAACAGATATTACGTATATATATATTCTTAGTATTTTTCTTCTTCTGAAAAACTAAACCCTGACTTAAAACAGCTATTTTTTGTATAAGCCTTTTGTGTCATACCTGGAGGACACCCTGTACTCAGATCCACAGTCAGACCAACAGTGGTTGAGGTTTTCCACATCAGCAAGTTGAGGATGTTGGCAAATGCAGGAAATGACCCTTCTGTTGACATCAACAGAAGTATACCTTTTCACAGTGAAACATATTTGTACAGAAGATGGCTGGAATCGTTCACATTGCGATAGGGCTGCTGCTGTTCTCTTTTATCAGAACAGGTAAGTGAAACGTCTACACAATCTTATCTCGTGATCTTAGTTTCATAATCTTATCTTGAATGTACACCCTATTTATCTTCTTTCTTCAGGTGTAAATGGAGAAGATGGTCTGATATTTGAACAGCGTTATGATATTACATCTCCATGTGAAGATGATTTAGTCTGCTTTCATATATGGCACTTTGCCGCAAGCGAAACAAGTCCTTACATTGCCGTAGTCAGTAACGGAGAGATCCTGACAGCTAATTCAGAGTATGAGGACTCAAAATGCACTCTGCAAATCAAAGATCTCACAGCGGAGGATGTTGGACGTCATCACTGCCACCAAAAGCCAGATTACTTCTCTCCTCACAAAAGTGAGTACTGTCAAGATTAAAGTCTTATTGCTGTGTGGGATGATACATAATTTATTTCACCTTATCACGAGAAAGCAGAAATCTGTGTCATAAATAAATAAAACAAATATATCTTCTATCGATCTATCTTTCTTTTCCCCTCAGCCGCCCCAGACTTAAACTTAATTCCTGGCAAAACAGTGTCACTGCAGTGTGTTCTCCTCACCTACATAGAGCAGAGACACTGCCATACTCAGCTACAACAGGTCAGCCTGACGTGGGTGGATGAAGCCGGCGCTGAGATACAAGAGGACTCACAGCATCAGATTAAACAGAAGTCTCTTTGTGATGTAACTCTGACTGTCACCTTTCAAAGTCCTGAAGACAAGAAGTTTAGGTGCCAGGCAACTGTAGATGAACAAGTCCAGACTTCAGCAGAGTTTTGGGTCAGAGTCCCAGGTCTGTACGATCGATCCTAACCATTATTCTTCTAGAATGCAAAGAATTAATAATGACAAAAACTATTTTCTTTGTAGGTCTCAAAGGGAGGGGAAGAGGATTTATCATAGAACTAGAACCTGAAAATCAAGGTACAGTTTTATTCTTATATTGCCACTCATATACAAATTTACTTGTTGTAATGATGCCCTAAATAACAAAAAAAACAGCAACCTGCATGTGTAAATCAATAATCCCACCAAGACAGCAAAAAGGAAGCAATTTTAATAATGTTCCAGCTAATTCTTTATCATTACATTCAGGGTTACCCATATTACTGTGGAAAATAAACATGGAGACTTCAGGAAATCCGTGCAGCTGGCCATGAAATACTCCTGCACATAACCCCCCCTAAAACTACAACCTTTCAGTTTTACATTTAGGTTTTAAAACAAATAAAACAAATTACATGCCAACCTGTCGGCTTTATAGGATGGTAGATGATTTTGTTAACCAACCAAGTTAGATATTTACCCTTATTTACAGGGGTAGCTATGCTAACTTGCTGCTGGCTGTAGCTTCATATTTAGCGTACAGACATGAGAGTGGTATCCAATACATCTAACTCTTAAACTTTAGGTTAAATATGGAGGACTTGTTTCAGCCATTCAAAACATAATTTTTGTGAAATGACTCTAATTTGCATTGTCAGGTAGCAACCAGGATGCGATCGGCGCCGCTGTAGGGGTGGTGGGATGTGTGGTTTTGACAGCACTGGTTGCCGCATTCGTTGTGAACAAAAGAAGAACAAGTAAGTTCTTCTACACTTCCTAAACCTATAGAGAAGGGTCTGTTGAAATCGAAAATTGTCACAGACCTGTACACAGACCTATAGGATACACAGCTTCTTCCAAAAAGTCAGCTTGCACAACTGCACTGTATGTTCTTTGAGGCAATCACTTACATGAGATGTGCTAATATCCCACAAATTCTGTTCCATATGCTGTTCCGCACATTATACCTATCAGTGTGTACTTATCAGGTACTTCTAATCAGTCCCATAGATATAGATCTGTTAGAAGCTTGAGAAATCCACACCGGTCATCTCAGCACTGAACATGTCATTATATGTCACTATAATGTAATTCTGTAAAATATGAATTTGTGCATTTGTATCTTTATTTTAGGAAACCAGCTGCCTGATGAGTCTTACACGGCCAGTACCAACAATGTAAGTCGATTCTCTTTCAAGATCATATAGAACAAAATAATTTTTGTGCTTTTGTCCACTTTTGAAAGTTAATTAGAATGTGTGTGGGTGTGTCTTTAGGTTACGAATGCAGATGATGTGATCTATTCTGAAATTACTTTACGCGTTGGCTCTGGTAGAGTGCTGGTCCATGAGTGTGAGTCCACTGAATATGCCTGTGTCCAATACAAATAGCCTGCCATCCAAAATGTAAATTGCAGTGTATCTTTTCTTTGTTTGTGAGCTCCAAATGTGCTATTGCCATATATTTACTATACTGTCATATGCTCCACACCAAATCCCTGTACTTTAACTCTAGTTAGCACTTGGGAACCCAACAGTTATTTTCCACTTTGACTCATTTTGCATTTCAACTTTAGAAAACTTTTACATGATTTTGAACAGTCTACCTCAGTACATTTACTTACATTTGACAGTGTGTATTTCCTGTTTCTCTATCAGATGTATAATTTTGCAGAAGATGTATTTACTGAAATCAGCATTAATTGTCATTTGTTGTGTTTCTTATTGTTTTCTTTTTGCAACACTGTGTTCAGGTCTGTAATAAATGAAAAGATAACAAAATTGTTTGTGAGTTTGCAGTGATACACACACTTACAGTTGTGGGAAGAATGAGCTAACTTTAGTATAACCTTGTGTTACATTTAAAGATAATATGTGCTCCCTTTGGAGTCACATTTCCTTCACAGTCTACGAAGAATGTGCATCATTTCATTGGACAATGTCAGGGTCAAGAACACAATGAAACGACAATCTGAACATTTCCCTTTTAGTAAATTCAGGCAAGCTGTAATTCTGCAAAAAATTCAATTTAGGATACTCAAAAAGCTGAGTAGACTGCTGTTGAAAATAGCAATACGAGCAAATAATAGTGTACTGACTGCAAGTACAGGTCTTTTTTATTACTTTGTGTCCAAACCAGGTGGAGGAACTTATAAGATGTGGTGGCAGGCAGCATGGTGGAAAAACCAAAGAACGCAGGATTTGTTGCGTAAAAAAGTATTTTTGAGTATTGTTTAGTGCCGTGGTATTTCTGCAGGTGATGGTCGATTGGCATTTAGTACAAGAATTTCAGGTGGCCAAGCTGCACATGCGGCTCTTCATTTTGGACACAAACCTGTGCAAACATGCTGAATTCAATTTAGTTTGGAGCTGGCTTCATTCTTCAGCTCTTTCTACTTTCCCCTGCCAGTACACACACATTCACACCTGCACACACACACACACACATACATACACGCAGACACACTCAGCCACAGCAGGTGAGAGACTGCCGGAGCCGGTCCCAGTGTTGCCCTATTTGCATTTTAAATGCTTACAGCCAGCCCACTACTGTGTTCACAGTGCAGCGCAGCACAGCTAATCTACACACCTAAGGTGTGTGATTGGCTACAGCCAAGAGTCTGAGGGGGTTGAAGAGTTGGTGAAGACACAAACATTGACAAGAAAGGGGGAGATGAATAAAGTTGAGAAGCCGTACCAGGATAGCTTAGAGGATCCTGCTACATTTAGTAAAGAAATGAAAGCAGATATGCTGATCCGATTCCGGATATGTTCATTTTGTTGATTTGGTTTTTCAAAAAACAGGGTGCAAAGGATGAAAGTAGACAGATAATCTTTTTCAGAGTGTATAGGAGAGGAAAACAGTCATGAGAAAGATTTAAAATGTTATAAAGGATATCAAAGTACATAAAATATCCTTGAACTCACACTCAAATCAGAAGATCTGGGGATAAAGTGGTAGATTCAACACTGAGGCTACTGCATATTAACAATGAGGCACTTTTACAAGTAACTGAAATGGAGTTATATTGAAATATAAATTCCCTGAATTAATAAACAAACTGCTGTGTTAATGAATGTCTCTTCTAAATGAATTAGTTTCAGTGCAACCTTTTTTTCACTCCATTTCTTTTCACTTTGCTTCCTTTGACCTTTCCTTACAAAACATGATCATCATTATTTCTAAATTTAAGGTTACAGCAATCTCGCTGCTTGTTTTTTAAAAACATTCAAACAGACTATGACTTCTAAAGGAGTTTAGGTGAAAGACGGCAAGTTCTGGAAGCTCTTTGTCAAGAGAGAGAACTTTTTATTCACACACATATTACCACACCTTTTAACAAGTGAGTATCTACATTATCTCAGCTTGCAGTGCCAGAAATACAAACCAAAAGTGCTAAAATTCTGCTATTCTTTTGTAAACCCCCACACATGCACGCATTGTTCAAATAACGGATAAGCTTTAGGTCAAAGCCTTGAACCCCAGTGAACTCAGGCACCAGCTTGTCTGCCAAGTGCTTGGAGTGGACATAGCAGTGGGGGCCAAATGCCGCTGTCCCCTGATGTGTGAGTATGTGTTTGTGGGTAAAAAAAGCCATAGGGTTGGAGTCTACAGTAGAGGACAGTGGGGGTTGGGGACAGTGGCTGGGATTGTTGTGCGTGTGTGGAACAAAAGGCCTTGATTACTGAAATCCTGCAAAAGGCAGGAGAGGAGGTGTTAAAAGTGATACAGTGGAGAAACAAGCAGACCTGGAGCTCAGGAGCCCTCCTTTCCTCTCATAAAGCTCATGTCCACACCCTGTCTGCACATATCCACCCTAATCCACAAACCGGCCTCTACACTATCTCTATAGCACAGATTGAAGAATAAATACTAAATTCAATGCATGGTAATGTGATAGAAAAAGCAAGTTCATTACTGTAGGGTTTCAGCGTTTTTAAAAAATACATTATTGCATTGAGAAAAAGATGAAACAGAGTAAAACAAACAAATAAAGTAAACTTCTAGCAAAGTATGTTTTTGTGCAGCCAAATGAAAGGAAGGGCAGTTTATTCATGAGAAGAGAAATAACCCTGACTTTTACTCCCCAAGAGCACTTGACAAATAACCTTGAAAGTGAACTGTTGACATCTGGAGTTGGCTTTGACAAAGGAAAAGCAACCCAAAAAAAAGCAACAAAAAACAAAACAAAACAACAACAATGTGTTGCTAAAAACCTAAAAGCAACAACACCTTTTAATCTACAAGACTTGCCTCTGTATTCTTATGGCCCGTGACACATTGGCTTTTGTTAACACTTCACATTGAAATTGACCCTGGCTGCAGTCTACTGGAGGAGGAGGGGAGAGGGGAGGAGGTGTTTCTCGACGCAGAGACAAAAAAAAAAAAGCGAATCGACGATTAACAATTTCCTGAAGGGAGGTGCTGTTATCACTCCCCAAAATCTCCCCTGCGCACCGGAGCACAGGACACTCTGGAGCTGCACGCACACAATGGACTAAAGCCCCACGAGAGAGATCAACATTATCAGCTGTGAAACCCTCCGCTACAAACAACTTCCTTTGAGTCTCCTTTTTTTTTTTTAAGTCTCTGGACGTTCAGGTAAGAGAATAATTGTTTCCAATGTTGTTTTGCTTTGCGATAACGAAAAGTAATTTGTTGCTTTTATCCAGATGCGCGTTTTTTGTTGTTGTTGTGTTTAAGTGAAGGCGCTAACTGATAGAAACTTCATTTAAACTTCCGAAAGTTCAATTGAGTGTTTGGAGTTACAGAAACAGGACGAATTAAATTAGGGAGAGACTTAACACAATCGCACAATCCGGGCGCCTGCACAAAGTAGAGGCCTTACTATTGTAGATAATGACTTTGAATTAGTTTTATTTTATTCAAAACAATTGAGTAATTTGGGTCATTTTCCAGCTGCTTTGCAATCAGGAAAACATTTTTTAAATGCTTTAGTGTTATTTTTAATACCTAACCTTAAACACAGCCATGGTGTTGCATTTGTTAAAACACTTGCAACAAAGTAGCATATCTAATTTTTCATTGTGCAGAAATTAAACCAGTGCAATAAATGAGTAAAAGGTGTTTATTTTTTGAGTCAAAACTGCACCAGAATTTAATTAAGCTGCAGCTGTTGTGTGCAAGTGGGTAGACCACAGTAATCTACATAATCTAGTCTACTGGTATCAAAGGTATGAGCACATTCCCTAAGCCTATTGAGGATGTTCCATGACTAAACTTCTCAAAATTGGCCTGTTTTTACGGCGCTTCCATCTCCAGATCCACTATTTTAAACTTTTGTTCCTCTGTCTTCCCAGCTCTCATCATACCAGATATGATTCAGAGGAAGGAGGTCGTGCTGTCAGTTCTGGGGGAGCTCCAGGAGGCCACAGAGAGCTCTGGCCTGGATGCTCTAACCCGAGCGGCTCTGGAGGTGGACCAGGTCCTAACTCCCTTCCAGCTCCCCCTGAGCCCCTGTCAGGACTTCCCTAAGTGGGCGGGCGTGGACGACATGGCTCATGGACTGTACCCGGCCGACGCACCCGCGGACCTCTTGCCTATAAACTGTAAGGGAGAGGGCAACCTACTGTTTGATGCAGTTAGCATGCTGTTAGTGGGCAACACTGAACTTAGCTTGGAGCTACAGGTGAGCAGTGATGATTCACAATCTTGGTCTAAATGTATACTGTTGCACTTAAAACGTCAATACAGACTACATCTAGCTGTTTATATGTGCACTTAATGTAATATTAACTTCATTAATATTGCCCCCCACAGGTACGGACAGTGGTAGAAATGGTGCTGTGGAAGAGATACTACCTGTCTGGAATGATTGATTCAAAAATGATGCTTCAGGCTGTTCGCTTCAGTCTCTGTGCTGAAGAGTCTGAGGACATGCTCAACCTGCCTGTAACAGTCTTGGAGGCAATCTTTGATGCAGATGTCAAAGCGTCATGCTTCCCTGGCTCCTATGCCAACATGTGGCACGTGTATGCCCTATCTTCAGTCCTGCAGTTTAACATCTACTCCATCTACCCCATGTTCAACCTCAAGATCCGACCCTATTTCAACCGTGTCATACGCCCAAGGACCTGGCCTAATGACTCTGAACCACTAACCCTCCATGTTATGTGGTCTGGCGAGCTGCAGTCTGAGTTGTTGTTCAGGCCAAATCATTTTGTGGCACTAGTCCAGACAAGTGACCTCACGTTTGGAAGCCCTGATAGCGAGCAGAGTGAGTTGCCGATCATGAGTGAGGAGCTGCTGAACCAGGACTCGCAGTTCTCTTACCCGAGTCTGAAGGACAAGTACAACATCACTAAGAGGACCTTCTATCGCTGGAAGAGGCAGACGCAGGAGCACTGCAAAAAGTCAGCAGCCAGGTATGAGGCAAAGTATTTCCTGCAGGCCTGCTACTTGGAGGGCAAGCTCATCCCTCTGCATCAGTTCAAAGAGTTTTTCCCAGAAATTTCAAGGTCATCTTATTACAACTGGAAGCACGAGCTTCTGAAAACCGGAGGGAACTTCTCCACCTCTTCATCAACCGGGGAGATCAGTCCTGGAGAGAGCACAGAACAGGAAGCCTGGTCTTCACCTGAAGCAAAGCAGGACGAGCCGGACCACCATGACAGCGTGGCCAGTATGTTTGGCCTGGGCCTCGGCAAGCTGGATCTGGAGCGGGCCCAGAATGTGGCTCATATGCAGGAAGCCAAGCGTTGTCTACAAAATTGCATTGCCATGAACGCCTCCCTCCCCTTCAGGATCTTCAAAAGAAATTTCCCAGGGATCTCCAGGTCAACCTACTACAACTGGAGGAGAGAAGCCATGATATTCAATGGAGGTTACAAAGGCAGTGTTGGTAGCAGTGAGGACAGCTCAGATGTTGACAAGAGCCAAAGTCCAAAAAGCCTGTCACCTGTCCTACCTAACATGATGGTTGGTGTTGTGTCCAGAACAAGGATCTGCAGACGGAAACACAAAAGCTTCAGACTGGCGTACATGAGTAAAAAACAGCTCAGAGATGCTGCAAAGCTGCATGTCCAGAACTCCAAATGGTCCCTGACAAAGTTCAAGCTCAAGTTCCCATCCATGTCCTCTTGTTTCTACTGGCTGTGGCGTAGTGGTCAGAACCGCAAGAAGAAGCCGGTCGCAGAGAGTGCAGAGATCCAACTTCCTGAGAATCTTCAGATGATGGTCTCAGAGATCCAACTTCCAGAGAATCTTGAGATGACTGCCACAGAAAACAAGGTTATGGAGAGGAGGATGAATAGTCAGCATGTGCTCCCATTTGTTGAGAGTCCTAAATATCCAAGTTCCCCCATGCCCTCCTTTAATGCCCCACATTCACAGCACACTCTTCATGGCAAGGCACCCATAGATGAGCAGATGTTTACGATGGATGTTGTGGCTCTGGCCAACTTCAAGGCCAAGGCCAAGCTGTTCCTGCAGAGACGCTTTGAGGAGAAATCCTTCCCCACATTTAAAGAATTCAGGTCCTACTTCCCCTTCACGCCACGCTCGACGTACTACATGTGGAAGCGAGCTTTGCATCATGGGGTGTCGCTTGTTCATGGGTAAATGTGCAAAGCTTTTATCCCATTAAAAATGGGCTTGCAGGAAGAATGTGAAAACTCTGCTGAAGAACTTCCTGGCCCCAAAAACTCACCTCTCTGCCTGTGCATTTTTTTGCAAACATACTACCTAAACCTTGTTGACTTCATGTTCTAAGACTGTTATACTGGCTTAGCATCTGAATGCATTGTGTCCTTCCTTTGCCCCACCACCACAGCTCATTCCTCCCTCCTGGACATTTGCACGTGTGTGAAAAGAAACGGAGTCGTTGGTCTGTTTAAACCCTGCATGTTGCCCTCCAGGCAACAGGCAGTTCAAAGCTGTTGTTTAGTGGCATTTTGTTTGAAGCCGTTTCTCCTCCGTTCCCTTTTAATCCTTGCTAAGCATTGTATTTGGAGTTCTTTTATTTTTTCCACTTTTCATTGTAGTAAGATTGTTAATGCTTATGATTTGTTTGTTGATGTATGTAATATAGATTCCCGCTGGTTTATGTTCTCTTTTTTTATTCTTTGAATGTAAAGAGAAGCCAGTATTTGCTTTCAGAGATGGGTTCACTCCTTGTTCAGACATCCTCTGTATACAGGGTTCCAGTCCTTTTTCATGTTTCTCCTTTGGACTATTGAATGTACACACCTCAGGGATTCACTTTGTACACCAAAGCCACAAGTTTTATGTGGTGCTCTGGAGTTTTTGCCATTTTAATGACCAACTTTTAAAATGCCTCTTTTTCTTTTGGTAATTGAACATTATATAAACCGAGTTGTGTCACACTTTATTTGCACTCAAATGGTTCCCATTACACTGTTGAATGTACTGTCTTAACCATCATGCACGCTTTGGTTAAGTTTGAATTTTCCAGCAATTCTATTTTTGAAAAATGTTTACATGGTTTCTTTACTTGAAAACAAAATATAAATGAAGATATTTTATTTTTTGTACGATCCTTCATTTCAAAACTACCTATTTCCCTGTAATATTGTGGGATATTTGCCTTTATAAGCTATGTTTGTCTGGTATTTTTCAGTAAATGAAGATTCAGTTTCTACACACAGACAAAAGCGAACAGATTTCAGTTTACGTTTGTACTTAGTGTATTTATTTTTCTTATTCATTACATGCCTGAAATTGGTTCTGTTGATACTGGCAGCCAGCATTATAGTCATTCAGTAGGAAAGGAAATCTGTGCTGTGCTGTATATCAATAAACTATCGACCAGCATCAACCGTTTGCTTCATTCTTCCTGGAAAAGGTCTCATATCATGGGCTCTTTAACACAGAATTTTTAGTGCTAGGTATTGTACATGACCTTTAGTAAGTAGTGCTTCATGGTGTTAGCTCATTAACACCGACTGTGCTTGACAAATTGTTATGCGACCAGTTTTCTTATGCTCTACAATATGTAAACGCAGTCACTGCAATAACTCAGGCAACTGTAAAACCTCTTTGTAATTTTCCTGAATCAATTGGTCTTCCTTCCAAGTCAGTGAGCCATTGTTCTAGCTGAAGTGATACCAATAACCCCTTTCTAAGCACTTCTAATCTTATGCCCCATCAGCTGCATCTTGATTAGACTCTCTGCTGGGATAAATTGGACAGCTGAACACATCACATATTAGTGGCAGAGGTCTGCAGTACGTTATAACCCAAAAGACATGTCAGGCCATGCCAAGTTAATTCATATAGACAACCAGTAGGTTGTACATCAGATAAAGCAAAACAAAAAACCTCTTTGTAACCACATCTAAATGTGCAAACGAGCAGGTCAGACCGAGCCAGTGGCTAAAGAATAGAAATGAGCTTTGAGACTGTTTTTGTGGTTTTTGCTCATTGCCTTTTTCTGTTTAGCTATTGTGCTTATGCTAATCAAAGTAATGGTCAAGCGGGTGGGATGGAGTACAGAGAGAGGGGGAAGGGGTTAATTGTATGCATGGGGATAGAGGTGTCTGAGATAAGGCCAAGAACATCCAAGCGTTTGGGGGAGGAGGCCTAGAGGTGTAGAGAGAAGGAGGGGGGGTATCTGTGATATAGACTTTATTGTCTCAAAAATCAGTACTGAAACCATCATTTGGATCAGCGGATGCCAGTTACTGCATTATTTTATCGGAGTATAATTGTTCTGTTTTTTTTTTTGTCTTGATTTTTTTTTAACTTGTTTTGTATTTAGTGTATTCCAACTGTCTATGTTTTGGGATAAAAGATTGTGATTTAACAGAAAACCTTAGTTCCTGTTCTGATGTTGGCTCGTCAAGGATCCACCAAAGCTATAAAGTGAGATGATTTTTAAGGTGAGGATTGTTGAACGTGCAAAATCACAAGAAGCGTTCTTATACCTGAGTATTTTTTTTTATCATGCTGTTTTGTTCAGCATGCACTGAACTCAACTGGCATTTTATCAGCTTCAGTGGCCGTTTCCTTTCCTCCTACACATCAGCAATGTCAGCTGTAAAGTCCTGATTTCAAGGTTGATGTTTTATGAATTCTGAGCACAAATTAATAAAGAGTAAGTTTTAGAGTAAGAGTAAGTTTAGAGTATTTTTTGCTTATCCGATTTAAAGGATAGGTTCCCATTTTTCAAGTTTGTCTTAAAACAGCACTTACTGTAATCAGTCCTCCGGTTCATACTGGCTGTGAGGAGACTACTTCCTATAATGATTTCAGTGTAAGAAATGGGAGTAAAGACACACACACCCATTATTCTATATAAAAATACCATACTTCTGCAGTCTTAGTCAAATATAAATGGGTATCTTCAAAATTTCTTTTTAATGTGAAATTTTCTCCTCTGTTATGTTCTCAAAACACCAGTACCCACTTGATCTGTGTAACTCAGTTGAACTTTGGAGTACACTTTTGCTTAAAATGAGGAGCATTGGTGGGTGGGTGTTGCTTCAGGTTACGATAAGACATTAAATATAATCCAAGGAGTGCAGTTACAGTTAAAGGCCAAAACTGAACTCTGACAGAATTTTATAATCCAGTAAAGTTATAATGAAGTCAATTACAGATAAATATTTTATGTTTCATTACAAGCATCACAAGGTAAACAGTATAAATACAGCGTTCTACCAGTGATGTGTGCTTGCATGTATTTGATTGGCCAATGCAGTGCAATGATGTCATGTTAGGCCTTGTTACATTTCTTTTACCGGAGCCCCCTGTGTTAGCACTCATACTGGTTCCATTGAGGGCCTTTGTTTTTTCACACAGTTGGTCTGAAGACAGCCTTAAAATGTAGTCATGGTATAAAGGAATCACTTCACAGCTAGTATTGACCAGAGGAATGATTACAGCTACCAATATTTGTTTAATGTACATATGGGCATGTGAGTATTTTTCTAAGACAGGCTTATAAAAAATATTAATCTTTCCGTTAAATTCTTTAGAGGTAATGTATGGATTATGATTAGATATGAAGCACACGCTGTGTGTGTCATAAAACTTAAACATTTAATTGCCATATGTTTTAAACTTTAAAAAGTCTATTTTATTTTTAAAGATTCATGTGATCAATGTCAAGAGAATCACCAAGGTAACTGACCTTGACATAAGCAAATATTTGATAAAGTCTTAGTCTGTTTCTTTACCTGTGGGTTGGTTTGCCATCTCCATCTTCATTACTGTATGATAGGAGGAAATCTCACTGGCGCAGAGCTACTCTACATTGTTTATCTCAAAAATAGCATGAAAATAATGAGGCTTGGCAGGTGGGAGCGGAAGTCTTCAAGGATTAGCATACTGCAGTTGGTTCAGAAAGACAGAGCGATAAAGCAGAGAGGCATCTCAAGGATGCCACATTTTCTCAGTAAACAAAACAGACCTGCGGGACTCTTTAGGCTTGAGGCTTGCTGCCATTTACCCTCTGATAGGACCAGTGGTATAAGGAACTCTGAAATTTGACCTTAGTGTGGGTAAGGTGACGAACAACAGAAGTGAAAAAGCAATTTCCGACTGAAAACTTGGAAATGAGGTCACATTTTCAGATTGACACATAAACTCATAACGATTACAAGTCCTCACTCCAAATTGAGCTTCCTCTAAGAGAAACATGTTTCATACTTTAGCGGAAATGCACCATGTATGTTTTTAAAAACAATAGTACATCCCATATGACATGGCTCCAGTAAGTTTCTTTGTTTCAAACACATGCAAACCTACAGTATATCCAGGCATGTAGACAGTTTATCCACTAGGTGGCAGTGATTTGCTTCTTAAGACAGTTTCCATGGTTTTGATTGTCTTTATAAAAAGGCTTTCTTCATACACTCTTTAGTCTGGACTCAAAATCATTGTATTACTGCATGGCTCAGGGTGAGCAGTTCTGATTTTTCTGGTGATAACTCCATTTATAAATACAATCCAACATTGCAGCTGGTAATGCATAAACCAGATAACATCTGGGAAACAAATTGCTTAATGACAGATTAAAAGAAGATGAAGAAGAAGAAAAATGGAAAATGAGCTCTAGTCAGGGATTGTTTTGGGTCAGAATACTCCTAACCGTTTCCCTTGTTAGTTATTTTGGTGGTTTCTAAATGCAAATAACTCAAAACAAAAATAATTTTAATATCATATTTGCATAAAATGCCAGGATTTCACACACTTAGAGGGAAGATGTGAGATTAATCCCTCCTAAATTTAAAGTTTTCCATCCCACAAACAAATGTTGTTTTCTGCCATGAGGTGCTGTTCAGAATGAATACATTTCTATGATCTGAAAGAGCTGAGAACCAAACAGTATGTTTTTTCAGTCTCAGTAAAAACCCACTCTCTATGCTATCATATGTATTAACACTCCTTTTGTTAATACGGCAGTCTACCTAAATACAGTAACAAGGTGATTCATATCCTTATATGAAAGAGGACCTAATGTCTGAGGAGCAAGTCCTTGCCACTTTTACATTTTTCTTCGTCTTAACAGCAGTTTCACCTGCTGAATGTGGATTTGTCATGGTCTGAGAATCCCGGTTTCTACAGAAATAGAGTTTCAATTATCACAAATAATATCCATATTTTTGTCATTACCAGCTGGCACAGCTTAATGCGATTCAGCATCATGTCACATTAGGTGGCAAAAACAGAACACAGTCCATAGGGTTTTGTGAGCATAAGAAGATGCATATTTTTTCAAGCTGTTATGGGGAAAAAACCAAAGACCAGTCACAGAGGGACAATGTCAATGTATATTTGACTTGAAGGAAGTTGATGTGAATTCATTTCTCTCAAGGTATATGTCCGCTTGTGAAAATGAAATGGGGTTCTGAATTGTTCATGTCAGTCGAAGAGACAAGAAGCTTTTTATGAATTTTCCATGAGTAATGTGCAATTTGTATGCTTAATTATGCATAATGTTGTGCCTGTGAGCTTGCTCAGACCTTGAAGGCATTGCAAGGAGGTTTTTATGCAAACCTGAGGAGGGAAGCCTTAGTTAATTCAATAACAAAGTATTATTTACTTACTACTGCCTCATATTGCTCCAATCAGTTTCCTCTCACATTTATTCTGAAATGATTTACTGTAGGTTTGCTGTTGTTGTGTCCAGCGCCTCGCATTTCATCTCTCAGCAAGTAAACAAACACACACACACAAATATACAGCTGCTGATCAGAGACCCGCACTGACAAGTAAATCAATGAGTGACAACCCCTGACTTATTTTTCCTGCGTCAATTGTTTCACTTTTTGTTTGCACTGAATCAATAATCCTGTGATGCTTTTTGTTGATGAAAGTGAGTATGTATGTGTGTGTGTGTGAGAGAGAGAGAGAAAGAGAGACATGAGGGATTGTCAGTGTATTAACAAGAGCAGTTATTACAACTCTGATCCCAGTTGCTGCTAGTGCTCCATACCACATGTTGACAGGTGATAATCGGGGCTAAAGGTCAGGTAAATAAAAGCCTTGATGGGTAATCCATGTTTGCGGTCACGTAATTTTTTGTCTATGTTTATTTTGTGGTATAGTACAGTTTTACCACCTGTTCAATTTTCATTCAACACGAGCTGGTGAAAGCCAGAGGCTTGATCCCTCAGTGCAACATCCACACTGTGAGTCAGAGAGCAGAACAGCCAGATTGCAAAGTTCAATAAAGTTGGATCTAAAGAATTATCCGTCTCCATCCATCTCAAGTATTACCCTAGGAGCTCTAGGGAAAATGCAGTTTGAGTGAGGTTAAGGCGAGAGGGAGACAATTACATATTTTGCTGAA